AGTGGGCCTGCCTCCCTTGGCCGATAGTGTGCGGGCTCCACTCATCAGATCCAAGGGAATGGATCACTGCGGGTACAGTTCGTTAAGGGAGGTGCCACCTGAAGCACGGGCCACCATCCCCACAATTGAGCACCAGCACCTACAGTACGTGTTCAGACATGGCCATCGTTATATTGATGCGTTAGTCAGGACTCACATTCCCTTGGGCCTTACACCCCAGATCCCCTGATCGTGGCCGGCCCGATAAAGCTTGATAACGCCGATAGGAGTCTCGAAATTGAACATTCCCCAGTAGACCTGTTATTGTCTCGTTACGATCTTGATCTTATCTCCTTACGTGCCAGTCATCCTCTTTCTTCACCTAGGACTATTATAGGCATTGTCTCGAAATGGCCTTGGTACGGTTCGATACCTCTTGGGCAAACGCCCTTGACATCACCTAGCGGGGTAGTGCCTAGGGCGAGGTTCCATTCGAGGCACAGTTACAAGTCTCGATAGTACTGCCCGAGTCACAGGTAAGGCTCATATAAGAGATTGATCCGTCTGCTTCCATACCAGTTCTCTCAGCAAGTCATTCATTGTCGACCGTAGCTTAATAGGCATTTCTTGCCGCTGTCATTCCTTTCCACATATCTTAATCTGCTTCCCAGCGTTCCTGGGGACTGTCAGGCATTCGCCAAAATTCTCGCTCTTTATATCTAACATTCTTTTATCGTGTCATTCATTTACACTTCTCAAAATGCAGCTTCCTCGATCAGTGCTGCCGTCCCAGAGGTACTCCTCGGCGTCTGAGTACCCATACGAGGGCCATCACGAAGTAGTACCTTCGAGCCGGCTTCCATTGAGCGAGTCAAACGGGAACGTCCAGACCCATAGCGTCACAGCTCCCGGTGCTCTCTGCTACAGCCAGTTATCTCTGTCTCCGCCCATTCATTCTATTCCAACTCCACCTATACTGCCAACTCAAGCCTTGACTTCGAGCTATGGCACTAGTCTCCGGGGCCAACGTTCTCTACATCGACATGTATCGTTACAGGACTTGCCAATGGGTAATCCACGGGGCAACAGAAAAAACCCCATATACCACCACAAAAATTTTGCCGATTATCGTAACAAGGTGATGCAAAAAGAGCTGGACAAGGAGCAACCTGTGTGGCCGGATTGGTTGGAAGATGCTTTCCTCGATGGTGCGCTAACCTCTTCCTGCTACTGATTTAATAGAAACTGTTCACTAACTCGCGATCCTAGCTCTCCTTCTGATTCCGCAACTAGGTCGGAAAAAGTTTAGTTCAAAAACAATTCTGTACGGCCGGAACATGCTCATCACAGAATACCTTTGGATCTATCACTGGACACTTCACCCCCCTAAGAAAGGCGAACGGATTCCTTGCGGAAAGCAAAGAGAAAAGACTAAGCAGAACCCTGGGCATCCCATGTTCAGGTCACGAAAACAAGTCTCCAGCCATATACAGGTGCTGAAGGGATTTTTCCCTGCGCTGCCCACATGTAAGCCTAGCTGGCTGACCAGTCGGCAGTCTCTGACTAATTTCCTCTTGTAGTTCATTTCATTTTCCCAAGGCAAAAAGATGGGCTTGAAGATGATAAGAAGCTTCCGAAGGAGGAGGAGGATACAGAGTCCTTCAAGAACAACCGAGTCCTGATCTCGATAGCCGATGGGCGATTACCGGACGAGCGGCCAAACTACGAATATTTCTCGCGACTTCTTAATGCCGAGAACGATGTTTTTATCCGGCCAAAGCAGTGCTGGATATTTGTTTCATCGTCGAAGATAACATTGAAGGAAAAGCACATCGCGCTAGAGGATGGTACGACAAAGAAGCAGATCACTGGAAACCACCCGGACGGTCTATACTTGACGGAATCGGACTATCCGCACCTCAAACTCAACGAGAGCAAAGATTACAAAGACCTACCACGGCAGGGGAATCATCCAACAGTACTGCTACACGAATACACAAGGACATTGGCACAGAAGGAGTCCTCTTCGGTGAAGGAGATCTCCAGCCGTTGGGACGTTAAATTTCCAGAGCTTCGGGAGAAGCTCACCGCTGCACTCGATGACGCGCAGCCGGGCGATGAGGAGACTTCACGTTGCGTCGTTGGGCCCTGTGATACGTTTCACTTCGAGACGGTGCTTGACTTGCACTCCACTTCCAAATTCCCGCCGGGCTCTGACCTGAATGGGCTTGTTGAGTTCACAATCAGCAGACCTGATCTTCATAACCACAGCTGGAGATCAAGGACGAGTGTCATTAAGCCCGACGAATTGTACATATCCGATGTCGAGAACGAATATTGGGAAGAGAACAGTTCAATTGATGTAATCCCGTCTCACCGCGTCGGGTGCACCGGAGCAGGACGATGTGACTGCACTGCCCGTGGCAGCCGAGATACCATCTCCATTCCATTTCCGGCTGTTAGCTGGGCTAATACTTTCATCAAGCTTGCACCAGCCGTGACGGCTGAGAAAGATAAGAAGGATCGTGAGCGGGCCGCCCGATCAGCAGCGTCGTTGAGTGGCCGAGCCGAGCGGGAAGCGGCTCGGGCGAAGAAAGAGAATGAGGAGACGTCGCCACACCCCAAATCAAAAGGCCCCAGCCCCAAAGATCTTCTCTCACAAGTCGCCATGTACCAAGAGATTTGGTCCGCACCTCCGACTGAAGCAGCTGGTAAGAGCAGTGACGAGGACTCGTCATCCAAACGCAGCCGTGGAAAATGGACACGCCGAGCTGTGATCTTATGGACCTTCGTGCCCGTGCATGAAGAGACAGATGATAAAGGCAAGACGACAGTTGTACCCGCCGGCACCAATTGGCGCTTCCTCACCAAGATTGACCCGACTTCGTCCTACCACCAGCAGCACGCATACGTCTCTGGGTCGCCCTCAGCGCTGTCACGACAGAATGTCATGAGCCCAAATCCGGGGTATGCGCAGCACATGAATGCGGCGATGCATGAGAATTTCAGTGCTGCTTATGACGCCGGTTCTACCACGGCATTTACGTTGCCAAGCCATACCAATGGCCATAGCTACCAACAATTACAACACCACTTGCATCAACCACCACAGCTTACGGCCCTCAACACTTCTCTCGACAATTTCCACTCAGATGGGCTCACAACACCGCCCCCGTCGGCAACTCTCACGAGCAATTTCCCTACCGATTTCACTGACAACAACACCAACATCGACTCGGGTCACACCTTACACCACCACTTGAGCTTTATGTCTGATGGCACAAGCAGTAGCTGCACGAGTGACCACACTCAAGCTAGCCTTCTCGCTGGTAATGGCACTAACGCACATGACCCCTTTCTGTCTGGTCTTGAAGTCTCGGACTACATCTCGGATTTTCACTCAACGACAGCACACGCTCTAGGCGACCTAACAACTCGCTATATGGATAACGGCCATGTAGCACCGACCGCCGGCGGCATGAGCTGGGCAGGCGCAGGAGCTATACCCACCTCAGGTACCATGGAACCCCACTGGAACACCATTACTGCTGCTACTGCAGGCCAGCCCCAACACCATATCAGTCATACTGGACACGCTGGCTTGGGGCCCAACGGAGAGTTCTCGGACACTTGGTCCGCGTGGCCAGCACCAGAACTCACACGCATCCCATCCGATTACAGTCGTCGATCGTCTGATAGTCTCTTTGAAGACGGCCTGGGCGATATGGCTGATGGCGATGCGGCGGCATTCACGCTAGGTGGGACAGGCCTGACGCCGCTGCGTCATCACAGCGACTCTCAAACTCATCTCGGCCATATTTCTGGCTTGATCGCGCACCAGCAGCAGCAACAACAGTCCCCGACGCTAGCGAGCCGCAAGAGGTCGCGCACTGAAAGTCTTGGTCCCGATGACGAAGACGAGAGCGTTAGGTATCCCGTCCATTCCATCCGCAAGCTCGCGCACCATCCGGCACGCGGCTCTTCTGCTCTCGGACTCCGCGGTGAGAGCGATATGGGTGGCCATGGCGCGCCCCCAGCTGTAATGGCCGAGGGAGCTGGGGACTACATATGATAGGAATTTCGAACCGCAAATAAGCTGTGTTCGTTTTGTTACCGCATTTCCACCTGAGCGTCAAGCGGGCCCAGCATCTCCCGCTTTTCGCCTAAGCGAACATTAATTATAATACTATAATACTGCATTCTCAAGCCCTGGATTTTGCTCCATTTTTTCTCCATCGTCACTAAGTTTAAATGTGTGCATTGGTTGGCTGCAGCAGCCCTTCCTCATCAATACTTAATATTTGGGATCCCAATATTGGAGTCTGGGTGAATGGCGCCCTTCGTGCGGTTGGGACTTGGTTTGGGCAGAAGAAACCCTATATGTATGTACTTTTTGGAGCGATATCAAACTCGCTGGATACCCTTATGGCGTAATATGGACGGGCGGCAATGCCGGCTAGACAGATACAAAATGATTACAACCTATACAATGATTTACTGGATGGTTAATCGCTTGTTACATGTGATATCACGTCCTACCTCATGCGCGCCTTTATCATAGGCCAATCCCCAAATATCACAACAACACTTAGATATGACATCAACATGTATGACAAATTGAACGTCTGGTTCTCCAGCATGTAGCCAGGGGCTTTCTCATACTAATTAACATAATACTCTCAATTTCAACCATAGCAGACGAACTACGGTTGACAGATCACCGAGCGTACTTCCTCCCCATCCCTCTCTACCATGTCTCAATAATGACGCTTTCTCGCCGTTAATTCTCCCTTCGAAGTCAAGTTAATTGAATGCATAAGCCTCCTGAGGGGCCCCGGGGGGCCGGGGGGGGGGCGGGGGGCGCGGCGGGCGCGGGCGGGGGGGGGGGGGGGGGCGTGGGG